TAGTGGCCGTGAACTACCGCCATTTTTGAAAGTCGTGTATAGCGATTACTAACGAGTTTCTCTTATAATTGTAGCTTCCTGTACATCTTCCTGGACAATGTTGTTGTGAATTGCTCAAACTCCTCGGTTGGTTATGCTTTTGACGACGCAAACCTGAATCCAGGGCACCCGGTTCAAGTTGTCATCACKGACAGCAAGAAAAACTCGGCTCAATTCACCAAGAATGTTCCCATTGCTTWTCCCCTGGTTGGTCCTCTGAAAATAACGTGTCCTGGTTTTGTGGGGATCGATTTGCTCGCCAGTTTCAGTGTGAGCTTAACGGAAAGTAACGTAAGGTAATTGACTACTCCTCATTTGTCCTAATAATAGACCCTAACTAAGATGGACACCGTTCATTACCTTGAATCTTCGTTTTAGCTAAAAGCATTATCAACCATGAAATATTTCGCTGTAAAATTTGTCTTATTTTTTTGTGTTATCATATAATTATCTACTTAAKAAATATAAAACGACGCGCGTGTCTCTGTCCTCTGATATAAACACGGTSGGAGTTCGAAAAACACGAAAGAAGCAAGCTTAGGAACACGTGCGTAGCGAGTGTTTCTCTTGCTTCTCGARTRTTTTTCAACTCCCACCGTGTTTATATCAGAGGACAGAGACACAAGCGGCCGTTTTATATTTCTTTTATAAAMTWTTTCGAGSGAAAAGCAAATTTTGCCGGTAAGCCGTGTCTCTGTCCTCTAATATAAACACGGTCGTCAGCCAATCAAAGCGCGCGTTATATATCAAAACKTTTATAAATATTTTTTTTATAATGATTATTATTTTTTGGAAAACTTGAGATAGGATACAGCACGTTATAGTCATTAATAACATCTGATATTTTTTACAGCTTTATTTATAACTTTGGCGACAACACAACGGCCGTGAGTATACCCCAAAATACTACAACACATACCTTTTCCAGGCAAGGACGGTWCACGGTTAAGATTACAGCCAAAGGTCTTGTCAACGAAATATCCTCGACTTGCGACGTGACTGTCGTGGAAAGCATCCAAGGACTGAGGTATGTGACTATTATTAAAAACACTCTCGAAAGCTTGCATATTGATCATGAAGAGARATTTGAGAGAATTAAGCTCAAAGAGATTTCCTTTGCAGATGATGTACTAGAAATGGAAATCTTTCAAGATATTTGCAATGTTTAATGGAGCAAAATTTACAAAATATTTACAGAATGTACATAAAATTAACAAACTTTGTAAAAGGACATTTTGTCTGTACATTGAATTTATTACAGTTTAGTTACATACTATTTACAAACTCTAAACTAACCCACTTTTCCAGTGCAGAAAAATTGAATATGGCTCTTAATTCCATGTTTTTTATTGCCAGTTGCGCTCAAGACGTCATCGCGACGCCATTGGGCAACTCTACAGCTCTTGGCTGGGTGATTGAAAACGGTACTGACTTCAGTATCAAGTTCCAAATCAACCCCTCRCTGCCAACCTACCAGGTCGTTAATCTATCGGCCAGTGATTTACTCGTGGTTTATAAACAACATAACTACACAGCTGTAGGYGAATACCTGGTCAATTTGTATGCCTGGAATATAGTGAGCAACGTGAGCACCTTCTGTCGGGTGTTGGTACAAGAGGCTATAACATACGTGAACGCTACGGTAAGGACATCTGATAAAATGACCGATTTTTTAACGCACATAAGACCAATCTCGTACCCAGAGCCCGCACTTTTGCCTTAGTCCAGCGGATGTCAATGCGTGAGAGACTCTGGGGGAATGCGTTATTTCTCAATTCGTGATTGGTTGAAAATGACGCGAGCGCGCATTGTTTTCAAGTCGCCAGCGCGCGCTCACCTCATTAGTCAAGAAAATCATACTTTTATCGCATAACCACAGATGTTTTCACACATTTTTGTTTTTAAAAAGGTGTCAATACCGTTCCTAAACTAAATTGTGTGCTAAACCTTCTTCTTTTTTATCATTTTAATGCTCTAAAAGCAGAAAACAAAATTGACCTCATTTGCATAATTTGCGACGGAAAAGCGTCGCAAATCCAGTCGATTCCTCCAGAGTCTTTCGGGCGTCAGCATAACGCTGACATTAGCCGTGAAGACTCTGGGCTCGAGACAAGATTTTGATCTACGACTGTGGTATGAGTCAAGGAAAGAGCAATACCATACCGATTGTTTTGAGGCAACTCCTCAGCGTGGGCACATGAGTTACCGCCCAAAAAAATTACCAGGACACACCTGCGATGCCTGCCTTTACTGTTATTATCCAATATACTAACAAGCAAATTTCCATTAGATTATTTCACCATTGGATTGCATTGAGATGAATCAAGATGTGACCGTTGTGGTCCAATCAGATGGAACGACGCCACTGTATGAGTACGACTTTGATGGGAACAATACCGCGTACAACACAACAAGCAACAGCGTCAGTCACAAATGGACGATGTATGGTAATTATACCTTAARAATTACAGCAAGAAACAATGTCAGCTCCAAAGTATTCCTTAAACCCGTATTCRTCCCCAAACCAGTGATGCTTCTGAATCAMATTGAAATCGATACAAAAGTTACCAACCTTACTACGAAGTCGAAACTGGTCATGCGGCTCGGTCAGGGATCTGACTTCAAATGYAACATTTCATGGGGACCTACGCTTAATACAAGTTTGTACTGCTACAATCACACCTACTTTGCTGATAAAAAATCACTTAACACGACACCATTTCAAAATCTAGTCTTATCAGAGGAGTATGTTTATCCTGAAACGGGATGCTTCGTTGTGAACGTATATTGTTATAACAGAAGAAGTAACGTAACGGGTACCACTACTGCGTGCGTTCAGAAGCCAATTACGAATTTCCTCCCAGTTCCTACAATTCCACAAATCAATGGAGAAAATTTCATGGTTAACTTCAGCATGACGGCCGGTACAAACGTAACGGTCCGTGGCACAATGAACRACGTAGATATTTCTCCTTACGCGTTCGTTACGGATACAAATGGCTCACTTATAGTACAATATTCAGTTCATTATAAACAAGTTGGCCATTTTAKTTTGGATTTTTTTGCGAAAAATTTAGTGTCAGAGGTSAATTCGACGTCAGTCATTGTGACCGTCCAAGAGGCGATTACGGAKTTGAAGTGCAACGTAACGTCGCATTACGCTTTTAGCCAGGCTGGAATTCAACCTGGATGCACAAACAAGACCGATACSTTTGCCGCTGAGTACAAYATCACCATGAACGCAACKCCTRATAAGGGAACRAATCTCACCTGTTACTACACTCTTGGTGACGGACGRACCGTGAATACTTCTAGTTTGAGTGTGGAACATAAATACTCTCCCGAATACAAGAATTATACGACAACTGTWACGTGTTCTAACCTCGTTAGTTCCGTGACTTGTGCGTTTCCAATAAGCATGCAGAAAACAGTGAAATCCCTTACCGTAACTAACAACGGCCCGAAGAAATTCAAAAAACCAATTACGTTTACTTTGAACGTAGCGGATTTCGGTACGGGTACGTGTTTTACGCTGGATTACGTAGATGGTACTGCTATTGACGTGCTTGGACCAGATCATTGTAAATTGCTAACGTTTCCGCAAGGACAGACGTACATTTCCTTAGCCGAAAGTAGTTCGTTCATTGCTACGCATCCGTTTGATCAAGTGGATGAATACTACGTCAAAGTCAACGCTACGAATGAMGTATCGTGTATGGCCACGGWAATTCAAGCCGTAGCCGTCTTGAAAGAATGCCACTACCCTAACGTCTCTATTATAGGTGAGATGTATTCCATGAATTAACGTTTATTGACTATGATCGCAGTTAATCCCTAAGCATTCCCCGCGTAAGCTGCGTTTTATTCACGTATCCAGCTATTTTCCAAATCGCGTAAACGCGTGCGTTAAGGCTTGGCGCTTATACAAACAACTATTAAAACTCCGACTAGGGATGTGTAAAAAACTTTGAAAGAATCATTGATTTTAACAAACTTGTGTAAATTCTCGCKCGCTGATTGGCTGATTAGAGTTTGTCAATAAGAGGATCATGCGCACTGTGCTGACACCATCACGTCTTGCGCGCTCCGTTGAAAGGAAATAATGATTTTCGATAATTTTCAGACTTTCGTTCGTGGGTCCACTTGAGTTTCGAACGTTTTATGACGTCAAGAGTGTCTCAATAAGAGGACATACAACTTAAACCGTGCGCAATTTGTTAAATAGATAACCACGATTTTTTTAAAAAAACTTTGTAGCTTAGTCTACTCGCGTAAATAAGGTGCTATGCTCTGCTGTGCTCTGCTGTGCTCTGCTGTGCTCTGCTGTGCTCTGCTGTGCTCTGCTGTGCTCTGCTGTGCTCTGCTGTGCTCTGCTGTGCTCTGCTCTGCTCTGCTCTGCTCTGCTCTGCTCTGCTCTGCTCTGCTCTGCTCTGCTCTGCTCTGCTCTGCTCTGCTCTGCTCTGCTCTGCTCTGACTTTTTATTGAAAGTTGTTGTCTTGTTAGTTAAAAATCGAAGATGTCAAATTTTTGTATTTTGCGAAAATCCCGATCTCCGATGCTTGTGTGTGTATGTCTAACTAAAATCCAAGTAGACAACTTTTTTATCTGTTTTATCAATGATATTTGACTCATTTTTTTTACGTTTTTCAAAATCAGTCCACCCTGCTATATGTAATTGTACGATCTTCCTCTTCCTACTATTCAATATAGGTGCCGCTGAAAACGTAACCCAGGCAAACTTTTACTACAARTCCGAGGTAGTACAGCTTGTCGCTCACACCGAAGTGTTCTGTGAAGTATCCAACAAAACAAACTACACGTGGACTATAGTTAAAGTGAAAGACTTCAACAATGATACAATTGATCCACCCCAGGAGGTCATTATTTCAGGGACATCGTTTACGCTTTCCAAACTTACTATTTTACAAAGATCTTTGACTTATGGGGTATATAAGGTCTCAGTCACGGTCTATATGTCCGAGACCGTAGGAGTGAAAACAGTTAAGGAAGCCTACTTTGGAATCTCTTGTACACCTTATTTGGAAGTCAAGATCAAAGAGGGAAAGGTGCTGAAGAGAACAATTGGGAGTCCAGTAAGTGTCATTTGTTTAAGTTTGCAATTTCATGAATTGAGCAAAAACGCGAAATTGTTTGAAATTGGAAAAATTTTCAATTGCTTTTCTCTAAAATGGCCGCCAAAAGTTTTTCACCATAAAACAAAGATTATTGAATAATATAAGATTGATATTATTAATCTTGAATTGATTTTGATCTGATACTTACTTGAGATGACATACTTGTTTATGATTGACATTGACTTTTACCTTGAGTAAATAATGTTTGTAGTAATCAATAGGAATTTTCAAATCGCTGAAGGGAATGCGATTKATTCCTAAATCGCATTGTCGCACTCTTTTTGAGACTATCGGATTTCCCTAATCATGATTTCAAAATAGTTATCATTGAAAATCGTGTTATRCAAACTTGGTGTGAAATCAGAAAAAATCGCACTCCTGCAAGGACGACATGAGATTTTCGTGCGATTAATATAGATGTAAYTGCCATTWTCGTAAGTTCCCTCTTATGTTTTAATATTTTTTCAGCTTACKTTCAATGGTAGTCCTTCATATGACCCGGACCATGGAACTGATATCTATCGAAATATGACTTTCTACTGGTTCTGCCGAAAGAAGAAGGAGGCTGAACCAAATATTCACAGCCCTGAAAATGTTCCATTAATAACTATACCAAATAAAAACACCAAAGCAAGCACGGTAAGATRTCGATGCACTGCGTAGAACGACATAATGTATTTTCACCACACGTTTGTGTAAATTCTCGTTCGCTGATTGGCTGGTTAGAGTSAGTGTGTCAAGAGGACATGCGCACTGCGCTGACACCATCAATTCGCGCGCGCGCTAAGCACTGGAAAAAATAGCACACCTTTGATGTAAATCATTTACATCAAATTTACACCATTTTGGACACTTACTTAATATTTACATCAAATTACAACCTTTTAAAGTGCGTGGTTTTTTTTCAGTGAAGTTGAAAGAAAAGAAAAAGATTTTTGCAAATTTTTACACTTCAGATGTAGTAAAAACAAATAGCATACGAGTATTCGTTGTATATCTTCTTTTATTACACAGATGATTTCTAACGCGCGCTCTGATTGGCCAAAAAATTGTGGTTTATGAGAGTATAAACCACGATTGTGCGCGAGCGATTTTTGGAAAAGGCAACAAAATGGATTTTTGCCTAAGTTTTTCTCAAAATCTATATAATAAAACAAATAAACAACCACGGCTGAGCCTTATTTATTTGTTAAATGGACACAATCTTGACTCGCTGAGCTCATGGGTCCACTTGAGTTTTAAACATTTTGTGACGTCAAGAGCAGTGACAATACAACTCAAAACCGTGCGCAATTTGTTAAATATCAAAACGGGTAAACCGAAGTTCTACTTTCGGAGAAAATACAAATAGGAATACCAAATTTCCGTTGTTCCTGAGGATCTTTCCCCGCTGTAAACAGGATGTGACGTCATTATGCGATAGGGCTCTTCATATTCGCAATGAGCTTGAAGTCATGAACTCATCAGATTTCATTTTGTATCGTTTTTTGTTTAGTTGACCAACGGAGGCTGCTTTGGTACYGGCGTTGGTCGTTTACCTTTGAATTCAATGACGTTCTCCCTGGACACTTCGCTGCCTGGAATYGAGTCAGGAGCAGATAATAGGTATTCTCGAGTTGCGCGTGACGTCACAGACRCCATGTTGGACTAAGATGACAAAGCATCCCTTGTTAAGTTCACTAGTTCATTTACCCAACATTGCGGCCTCACGTGACGTGTCCGTTAGAGAAGCATTTATATAACTTATTTGATTCTTATCTACAATGAAATTAAAGGAGGGAGGGGGAAAAGGAGGAGAAGGGAGGAGAAGGGAGGAGAAGGGAGGAGGGGAACGTGAGCGTAAGATTACAATTAAACCCATTTTTTTCGAAGATCTCAAAACTTAGTCATTCCTGCGCGCCCTTTGAAATTGTATGGAGCTTGCTTATATTAATACTGGTTGTCACGCACTAAAAGTCGTTCTTTTTTACGCAGTTTGGTCGTTACTTTGGTTGTGGTTAAAAACGATTCGTGCGGTGTAAGGGTTCAAAATTTCGACCAGTATGTTGAACTCACAAAAGAAGGCGTGCCAGACCTATCGACTCAGTAAGTTCACCTGATGATTTCTGCGTGACTGATGGTATCGAAAATCCGGAATCTGTCTCTCTCAAAGTTGATCATAAGTGCTACAAAACCGAGCGATGCGGGGATTGGCACTATTGTTTTGTTGACGTAGTGTCCRGGACAACCGAAGTGTCAACAAACCAACATCAAAGAGCTTTGAGTTCAATAGAGAAGAGTACAACTATGTCTTGCCGAGATTCAACTGTTTACATGAACCATCATAGTCTTCTCGATCAAACATGAAAATGCGTCCTGGACACTACGTCATCGTAGTCGTCACCTAGCCTCCCAAAAAAGGCTCAGCTTTTTTAGCACAGGATACCCTAACGAAGCTTATAGTGCAATTACAAACCTCTGTAAAATCAAGAATTTTTATTTGGTGACTGAGGTTATTGAGGACATAAACTTCAAAACAATATTTGGCCAGGGTGCATAGGCACTTTAAGAGTATCCTAGTTTCAAATGACCTTATTCAAGACTATCTTGTTTTCAAATGTCCTTATTTTATAAAGTATTAACTTGCTTTTAATAAATAATTTTATTTAAGAGTATTCTAACTTAAATTCAAATTCCCTTAGAATGGTTTTACCGCAAAGTTTGTTTTAATTAATTAATTAATTWATTATTTTTTRAAGGTGTACACTAAATTGCAAGAGGGAGGTCAACGTCAACGAAAAGACGTCTTTCAAAGCGACTTGCACGGGTTGTAATTCACAGACAATATACAAATGGAGTTGTAAGGAACTCAAATCGTGCGCAGAAGACCCAACAGATCCCAAAAACACATTGCGCGCTTTGACAGACGAGSAKTTTGAAAATCTGTTGTATGGTAAAGTCAGTGATTTCCACATTGTATTCAAAGAAGGAAAACTCGAAGGCGGAAAATGCTACTTTGTCACTCTAAMAGCARCCAACCCTGCAAGAAGACGTAAACGAGGTAAGAATTTAAAACTATCGAATTATCTATTTAAGCTGTAAAAACTGAATGTTAAATCAAACTTTGAAAATTGTTTTTCCCAGTTGCATTTACTCTCTATTTCTCACTGCTCGCCAATCAGCCTCAGGCAAAAAAAAAAAATAAATAAATAAAGTTAAATCAAACTTTTTGGTGGATCTCTTTTCATCATCAAATTTGAGACAATCCAGTTCTTTGGTTATATGATTTAACCAACATTTTTGTGGCTATCTGCCTCTGAAAGAAGCTAGTCTAGTCACGCTATCGTGTTGAGTTCACGAACTCAGTGTAAACAGCACAGGGAACCCAACATTCCGTTACCATGAGATATGCATGACATGTCTTCCTGTTTAAGGCTCATTTGACTGAGTGCCAAGTAGACCGTTCAATAATCCAGTTTCGAATTCTCTAATGCTCTGTGTTAGCCTCATTTGTGCGCAAAACATTCCTAATTGTGAGAATAAAAGTGTGAGATTTCAAATCAATTCCATTGTCTTTCTTTTCAAATTCCATGCGTTTTCTCGGGCTATCAATGAAACAAAAGAATATGTTGCTTGGTTTTGAGGCTAACACAGAGCAAACCAGAACTCGAAATCGGAGTATTGCCTAAGTTCCTTATGACGTCACATTAAAATATTATATTGTTTTAACGCTAAGGATTATGGTCGCCAGAAGGGATCAGAGTAACTGCATTTTTTTTTTCAAATAAAATGTTCATTAGCAAGCATTCATACATGACATACATCAAACACGATTCATTGAAGTTCTACTTTAGAAAGAGACAATATAAATGGGTCCAAATTTCCATTGTTTTTGAGCATCGTGTTCCGATGTAAACATACTGTGACGTCATAATGAAATAGGGCAATTAGTTTTCTCAACTTTATTATTGTGTATTTCGTATTCGCCAGGAAGAGCCTAAAAGTCGAAGTAGCCTTTAGCGATAAAATTCCCTCTGAATTGAGTTACCAAATATCGTTTATTTTTCTTCGATTTTTAAATCCAACCATATCCATCAATTTAACATAGATTTTACTCCACCGTTAATATAAATTTATTTTTACCTTCACATTTTCAAAGATCCTGACAGCTAGCCACACATGCACTCAATGACTGTCTTTAATTTTGAGTGCATGACATTTGTAGTAGTATTAACTTCATCTTTGGTCTTAGCTGTTGATAGCTCACAGGTTGGAGAAAATGCCTTTTTAATGGAAACGAACAAACCTCCAGAAAAAGGTAGGCCTTGAATAGACAATGTTCAGAGACGCCATTTTGTGTAATGGAGCATTGTTATAATTTTACTTCCGGTATGTTAGTTTTCGGTTATTACGTCACTGTAGCAATTGCGCATGTCAGGCAGTCGGCCTCGTGTGTGTTTTTTTAACCATAAATTTGTTTTTTACCACCAAAAATATTCTATAATTAGATAAGACACCAGAAAAATCACTATTTCACTCTGTCAACATGATGATATGATGGGTCGATCAAAGCCTCTATCAGAGTCTWTTCTCACAAAAAAAGAGAACAATCTTAAAATGCCTATGACGCCTGACAAAATAATTTCTGATTCTCCGTGAGATGATTCTATATAAAGTAAATAATTGAATGGTGAAATATTCCTGCATTTCAGTGTTGCGCCTTTGAGTTTTGAAGGTTTAATCTTCCAATATGCTAATGATAATGACGTCAAGGGAGGCTTCATTAGATATACGAACTTTAAAACAGTCGCTCAAAAATGTTTTCATGAACGCCATCTGGGAATATGGTTATTTCCTACATTGCATACGATAAATTTAATGACATAAAACCATTTTTAAGCGACTTCTTCAAAGTTCGTATATCTAATGAAGGTTTCTTTGACGCCATTTTCATTAACATATTGTAAGATTAAACCTTCATAACTCAAAGACACTGAAATGCAGGAATATTTCACCATTCAATTATCTATTTTATATAGAATCAACTCACAGAGAATCAGAATTTTTTTTTTTATCAGGCGTCATAGGCACTTTAAGATCGTGGTAAGGACATACCAAATGCTTTCTCATCATAAATAGAAACTCATTATAAATTTGTAAACTAACCTCTAGTTTGTCGCTGATTTTAATGCAACTTTGTTTCTTTTAGGATCATTAGTGATATCTCCAATGGTCGGCTACGCAATGAACACCTCATTCACGTTTGGTTTTAGCAATTGGCAAGATACAAATATCCCACTTACTTACTCTTGTGGCATTTGGGATGGAATCAACTTTCAGCTGATTGAGACCACAGGCGAAGAAGAGATTCAGATGATGCTACCAGCAGGTGATCAAGCCAAGAATTATAATGTGACAGTGCGCTGTAAAGTTACGGACAGACAAGGAGCTGCTACAATACTTGATAAGCAATTACAGGTAAGTGATTTACACTGGAAAAAAATCGCACGCTTTAAAGGTTGTAAATTTGATRTAAATATGATGTAAGTGTCCAAAATTCTGTAAATTTAATGGAAATCATTTACATCAAATTTACATAATTTTGGACACTTACATCATATTTACATCAAATTTACAACCTTTAAAGCGCGCGATTTTTTTCAGTGTTATCAGCAATCGAGATGGCTAGCTGGAGAATTAACACATAGCGCGAAATAAACGGCGTCTTTAGGAAAAGCCGAGTAATTGCCTAATATAGACCCCAAGCATGCACATTCATCTGGAGGACAAACCAAAAGAGTTTTGTCCTCTTGGGAAAAGAAATCTATTGTTTTATCTTCCAGTTGGAGCTGCATTTCCATGAACTGCAAGAGGTCTATATAGTAATAAATGTCTAATAACCTTATCCCCCCCACTTGTTTATCTAACTCCTTATTCAAGTCGACCTCACTATTTCTATTTCTTATTACCTGTCTAACAACGCCCTTGATCTTTAGGTTCGCCCTGCTAATGATGAATACTCCCTCTTGTCTTTTCTTGTGCTGGACAAAGACGGAGCTTTAAATCAAGCTGTAGAGAAAGGGGACTTCGCAGCTATTCTTAAAATTAGTATTTCAGTCGGAGAAATGCTGTATAAACTGAATGAAGCAAATGAAGATTCTTTGAAGGGGAATATAACAGACGCAGAAAAACAAAAGATAGAAGGCCGCGTTGAAGAGATACAAAAGGTAGAAAAACATTCAAATTATATATTGTTTTCCATTGTATAGTTGAACCCCTTTTTTACGGCCGCACTGAAATGACGACCAGATATTTATAGAAAAAAAACTCCTACATTAGAATTTACACGCTTTGTACGGACACATTGTTAATACCAATGTCAGTGGTCGGTTTCTGGTCGGTTTCTGGTCGGTTTTACGAGGTTTTCCGCACTTCCCTCCCAGGTTTGGTTGGTGCAAAATCATAGAAAATAAACGGACACTATAACTTTAAATTTTTTGTTGAAATTGTATTATTTAACTTGTTTCAGGCACAAGCAGAGGTAATCACTAAGTTGACATTAGTCCAAGTAGACACGATGGACGATGCTGAAGTACTGGCGAGTGCTTTAAACGGTATAACTAAGTCTTACAGCAGTTTGGACGATCAATCACAGGTACAACTGCTAGCATGTCAGAAGCTAATAAAGAAATTGAAACGTCTATCGTAGAGTTTCGAAATACAATATCA